CCCCCCCCCCCAAAACAACCCCTAGCACCTTACATACAAAGCAAAGAAAAGCAAAAAAAAGAAACACTTTAGGACACAAAAACAAACACACACACACATACACAACATGGCTAGGTTAAGGGTTTCTTGGTTTTGCATGATGTTATTCTTGTTGATAAGTTCAGTTCTAGCACAAACACAAGGCGATGATTATGATTACGATGATGCATTTGCTCCGGAGCCAAGTCCATCAGATGATGGATCTCCGGCTCCGATAGGGGACGATATGGAGGCTCCGGCACCAGCACCGGTGCCGGAGGCCGCTCCATCAAGTGGTGGGGAGAGGAGAGGTTTGGTGCCAGCTTTGTTTGCCTTTGGAGACTCTTTGATTGATAGCGGAAACAACAATCGCCTTTTTTCATTTGCAAAAGCCAATTATTTCCCTTATGGCATTGATTTTGGTGGCCCCACTGGACGCTTCTCTAATGGTTACACCATCCTTGATCAGATTGGTAACTCTTTTCATTCCTAACTTTTTCTTTTCTTTTGTTAAATAAAATTTAATTTTGGCTGATGTTTTTCTTCTTATTTCTTATTATTGTTGATGTTATTGTATGCGTCTCTTAAATCTTTTTGTTAATTTCTGTGATTTAATATATATCTTTTGACATTTATGATTCTCTCTCTTTCATTTCTCAGCTATTTCTTAGGGCCCGTTAGGCCATAAAATCTTTTTACTATTTTTCTGGAAAAAAATCAGTATTTGGCTATGAAAATTCCAAATCTAACTTGAAAATTTAAAAAACTTATTTTTCACAATTTTCACTCCAAATCACTCAGAAAAATTTAAAAACAACTCCAATTTGTATTCATGTCCAAACACAACTCCAATTTTCAAATACCATTTTCAATTTTAAAACAATTTCACTTTTTTTTTTTTCGGAATTTCACAATTCTTAGGTCCAAATGCCCACTTAATTATATATCACTCTTTCTTTTGTATTTTAGGTTCTTTCTTTTCCCTTAATTAATCAAACAAGAAGCATTTTGTTTTTCAATTACTTTATCTTTGAAACCTTTAAAACCTAAAAGTGACATTATATCAGCATCTGTACTTCTTTTCGTTTTCTAGAAACTTTAAGAAAACAAGAATTGTTATCTTTTAAGCGTGTTATTTTTTGTCCTGAAATTATCTTCGGAAAAAGAATATTCATGGCGAAATTTTTTGTTTTGAAAAGGGAGGAGGAATGTCCCTATTTATTTCTGAAGCAAATATATGCCATTTCCGGTTCAAGCCTGAATTATGATTTATGCCTTGTCGTTCTTTATTTATTTCTTTTTGTATGGATTTTAAAATTAAAGAATATATAGAGCAACTAATTTCTGAACGTCAAAATGCATATTGATGATATAGGACTACTGTAAGGAGAATAATAGTTTGCACAAAAAAAAAAAAAAGGGAAGCAAGCTAAGTACTCGCGGAGAACTTATCGGCAGTCAATACTTGAACCAGATGTGATTAATTTATCATAATTAAATGACTAATTAATTTGAAGATACACATTAGTTAACTTGGTTGGTAAATGTTTATATATGTGAAAACAAATGTCATACATTTATTGTTTGATTACATTGACTTAGGGAGCATAAGGCCAATATAAGATTCCAATACAATGTATTGACTATTTTGTTTTCACTTTATTTAAGACAAATGGTAATTAATGAATAACCCAAGTCTTTGAAAATCAGAGACTTAGTATCAGATTTCACAAAAGAGCTCTGTCATTTACAATTAGTAATGGAGCAAAGATAATTCCATGGGGATAAACTAGCTAATTAAACTTTATTTGTACTAACGACTCAAATGCTAAGTCTCAAGTACTCATGATCTTGATTATGCAATTTTAATCGTTAAGAGAGCTTGATCAAAATTTTAAATTAGTGCTTATATATAGTGATGCTCTTCTGTGAAAATAGGGGACGTACACAAAGAGTCGTTTCAAGGCTGCTATTTAGAGATTACTCAGTACTTATCTTGGAAATTTGAACTAAAAATCTTAATTTCAAACAATTCTGAATATTTGTGTCATGAAAAATTAGACAAGAGTGGGTTGTTCTAGTGGTGAGCACCCTCCACTTCCAACCAAGAGGTTGTGAGTTCGAGTCACCCCTAGAACAAGGTGGGGAGTTCTTGGAGTGAGGGAGCCGAGGGTCTATCGGAAACAGCCTTTCTACCCCAGGGTAGGGGTAAGGTCTGCGTACACACTACCCTCCCCAGACCCCACTAGTGGGATTATAGTGGAATGTTGTTGTTGTTGTTGTGTCATGAAAAATTAATCCGAAAAATCGAAATTCGAAACAAATTGGCTAAATCCTAAATAGTAGCTTTTTAGAGTGACTACCTGGTATTATTTCTACGTACTTTAATTATACTTTTTATGTAAATATGCAGGTGACCTTCTGGGATTGCCACTGCTTCCACCATATTCGGAGATATTCAACGTCGACAAAATGCGTTTCGGAGTGAACTATGCCTCTGCTGCTGCTGGTATTCTTGATATTACCGGCTTTCACTTTGTAAGTATATAT